ATTTGTAGTGTTCCTGTTACTAGTTTATTGCGGAGTGTGGTATAAAAAGGGTGAATGTGTTTTTAACTTATTTTTATGTAACCTTTTTGGTCGAAAACCGTTTGGAGACTGGAATTAATCTGAGCATAAGATTTTTTTTAATAAAATATGATAAGTTTGTGTTCAAACTTGCTAAGTTTTGGATGCAACTAAAGACAAATTAACTGATATACTGGATTCGACTCGAAACTTATTTGACGTCGTCATTCCGATGGTAGAAAGACTAAAAGTCGATGTCGCAATTTTTTCTTTATATTTTGTTATTTTGTTTCTACCATAAAAATATATAGTTCATAAGAGCTAACTTAGATATTTATCATATGTATTGTAAGGGCCTGTATCATCATCATCATAGGTATATCATATGCATTCGTATGTAAATAGCTTGCTATGGTCTTGAGGGGCCGTCCATAAATTACGTCACACAAAATTCAAGATTTCTAACTCCCCCTCCTCCTGTCACCTATTTATCTATACAAATCCCCCCCTCCCCCCTAAAGTGTGACGTAATTAATGGATGGACAATAAGGGATTGTATTAGACGCTTTTATCTCTTCAGGATCTCCCTAATAATAAATAGCTTATAGGTACATTTTTCTACGTAGTACCTTTGTATGACTCATATCAACTTTTTTACGATACCTTACATACTACTTTAAAATTAATATCAGTCTTGCGATTTTGTAAAAATCCGAACCCGAATTCGAATTGCTAATAACGTTTCGTGGTATAAGTGAAGTGAGTTTCAAAATGACATGACAATGATATAGAATATTTGAGACACATCCGAATCAATCCGCTCCCGCTGGATGCGGGAGGCGTAGGACCGATCGCTTTGGAGATCTTTGGGGGAGGCCTTTACCCAGCAGTGGGCGTCTCCCGGCTGAAACGACGACGATATGAATCCATCAGTCTTGTTTTGTATTTTTAATACAATAATGGAAGCAATAGAATACATACTTTAAAAAAAAAAATTAAAAACCTATTTACTCAATCTTCAGAATATACGTTTAGTGAGGTGACTGAAAGATTGATTTTTCCTGAAAGCTAACATATATCATAATCTTAAATATATAATTTTGACATTGTCACAATTGACATTCTAAATTTATTCCATCGTATTATAATCTCATGTACATATTTAAATCTATTTAACATTAATTTGTTACTTACTTGACCTCTGTGTTATCTAATTTATCATTATTTATCTTACATTACATTAATAATATTCTATATTTTTTGGACATTTTTGAATTCTTCTTATTAAAAATAACATTGACAATAATCTGTCCTGCTCACTCTGGACTGGGTGACGGTTGAAAATCGGTGCACCATTCTTGGGTTATTTACGTGCACCGAGCCTTGACCCTTATCTTTCTGCTGCACACAGGTATATCACTTATATCATTACGTGTCCTGTTCTCAAATGATATTTGTATTCTACAAGTTGTGATGTAGTTGTGTGTAGTTTGTAGTTTGTGTATCTATCTAATTCGAATTCACTCAGGTGTCCAAATTCAAGACAAAAGCGGCATCTGCTCAACATTGAGTTGGTAATAACGTTTCGTGACTTAGTGATAAAATATCAGAGAAACGTTGAATCAATCCATTTTGTTTTGTATTTTATACAAAAATGGAATCAATAGAATATATGCACTGAATAACGTTAATTCTGAAAAATCAGTGAATTCGAATTCGGGTTCGGATTTTTACGGAATCGTTCCACAGTTCAGACCTTCGTAAATTGGTTTCGTAATTGTGTTTAGTTACCTACTAACGAAATGCTTTTGAAAGTGCTATCACCAATCAAATCACGAAGGTAGTAAGGTACTAAGGACATATACAATCTAAGGTCCTTCAACATATGAAAATATTAGTTTGTAAGATTAGGTGATTCAGAATATATTGGGTATTTCAATAACAAAATGTTTTTTCTAATGTTTAGAAGCTTACTAACACATTTAAAACTTGTTTTGTCTACGTAAGATTTAAATAAGATGATCGGCTTTATCACTTAACAGGATTTCCTCAGAGTTTTCTTTAACTTTTTTCAAGAAAGGGAAAGATAATATTTTTGCTAAAATGTACTTCGTATATTTAACCTTATATTAAACGGTTTTCGTATATTTTCCCTTTACCTGATCTGCTTTTTTTTAATAAAGCGTTATTTCTTATTGAAAATTCAATATGACCCTGGTACTCTGGAACGGGTATCGAACCCATGACATTTCCTAAGCCGGACGATCGCTCTAACCACTGAGCTACCCAGGACCTAACTAAAGTGTTATTTGTTATTGTACCCAAACATTCCTACATTTATTGTTACTGTACAGGGTCAAACGTGCACATCCCTTCAAATAACTCATGTAAAGGTACGTGCATATGTGGACACAACAGTTATATGATTTGTATGTCTACTAAATAAGTAAATATATTTAATTTTTGTCCACTTATGAAAGTTCCTTTAAAATGAGAAAGATAAATTAAGGCAAAAGTTAGGTATTGTTGTTTATTTTGACAAGCAATGGAATAATACGATTTTTATCGAAGAACAAATACAATCCTTTTGATTACTTTCTTTTACGCTGTATCAGTATATTAATATTTTACTTATTCGTTTGCTTTATTACTAAATAAAATAAATTTAATTTTGAAAAACTACTGAACTTAATTCATAGTCTAAGATATTATATTACAAAACCGAACTTACGCGTAAAAGATATAGATTACATTTTCGTTAATAAAAAATATAAAATTAGACAATACAAAATATAAAATTATAAAATTGACAGCTGCGACTTTCTACAGAGATATAAGTAAGGGTCAGCACAAATCTGACTTAAGATCCGTTAAGCATCTCACGGAAGCATGCGTAATTACGATACAGATAATATGTCTAGAGTGCTTATTTAAATGTCAAATGATATAGATACATATTTGACTGTGAGTGTCTAAAAGTGAGACGATCCTTCCGTAAGATACTTATGAGCCGTTACAATTTTGAGAAAGGGGGAAGTTCTGTGTTTGTGTGGGATATGTTTTTACTTGATATAATAAGTGCATTTTTAAATGTTAAGTTTATTTATAATTTAATTCTACGCATTATATAAGCATCTAGTTTACATCACTCAAACCATGAAATACCACAATACGAAAAGATTGTTGTCACAACAAAAAATTGCTTTTTTTATAGAAAAGAAACCGTTGCAACCTTATCTTATCTTACATATGGTCTTTTTGTCTTGTTGACATAAATACCATATGTACACACCTTTACAATAGGTGCGTACCTAATTTGTTAAAGTGACTCGTTCCTAGTACGTGCACCTGTGACAGCTTTAATAGCTACTACACTCGAGGAAATATACACTAAACCTACGTATGCTGCATAAAAATATCCATTACCCGGTCTCGATCACAGGATATTTACTACAAAATACAACATAGTAGTAAGTAGGTAATCAGGAAATTGCACGCCATATGAAAACATTCTCAATTTTCGAACCATTGTTGTTCCATTAGAATTTTGATTATAATCGCTAAATGGTGCTGGTTGACTCCCTTCTGAGATTCCCTATTTATATTTTACTCTTTGATCGTTGATTTGCAGCTGACAGCTTTAGCATTTTTTAGGGATTGTATTTAAGAATCATCGAGTATCATCGCCATCTTTCATTCATTCCATATTTCATGAAAAAAAAAAAATATTTACTTGACATTGGCAGAATTGTGCGAAATGCGCAGATAAGCCATTAATCACTACCATTAATAAAGAAAGAAGAATTTTTCCCTTCAGCTTCGAAAAAAAAGAATCCCAATAGTTCAGCTCTCGAAGGCGAACGTTCATCATCAGCGTACCAGTACCATTAAATATTGATTATAATCCATACTATAGGTATAATAAATGCGAAAGTAACTCTGCGAGCGCGAAAAACTATTATCAGAAAAAAAAGATAGATTATAACATAAGTAAATTAAAATTAATATTGATGAGTTTTATCGGATGAAACCTAAGCACCTACATATTTAGAAGCGCTTTCGGTCGCAGGGGCTGGCTGGACATAATTTTTTTTTGTCCCAAACTTCTCTTTGCTTCGGAAGCTGAAGTATATAAAGCTAGTACTAGCCCCTTGCAGCACTTAATTTTTTTATGCGTTGGGAAAATGCTTTAATCAAAATCACGGGGGGATTTGTGGACTCTCCTCCGTGATCGGAGACCTACCCACCTAAATCCCCACAGTATACTCAAATTTTTTTATTCGATCACAGCAAAAATCAACTCAAAGACAAAGAGATTTATAAGTGAACTAATATTAACAATCTTTGGCTGTGACAGACTGATGGATGACAATGGATGACAGACAAAAGAATGATCATGTAGTGGAGCTGTTTTTTTCTTTTGGGCAGGGAATCCGAAATTGTAAGGGTTGGACTACATTTGACAGCAAGGTATTGCTTTTTACCGTCGTCCTACAAAATCACCGAGGCGATACGCGGCATGCCGTCTTTCTCGCTCTAGCATATGGCAGTTCTGAGTGAGACTGAAAAGACTAGCGCAGCGGTAGATGTCGATAACATACCAGATATAATCTAGTACGGTGCCCGGCAAGAAAGTAAACCCAATGGGGCGTCCACTGCGCAGGTATATTCGGGGTAAATATCGAAAAACGTAAAACACCTATAATAATATTTGTAAACCATTTTTATAACGACAGAATTCAGTATAGTGATAAATCACTATATATCTTGAGTGTACTCGTCAGTGAAAAAGTGCATTTGCAAATGGCGGGAAGTGAATTTGTAGGGCAATGTCAAGCGCGGGATAACACTAGGTCCTTTTATGGTTAAATCTTTCTCCCCGCACACTTCACCTCCTTCGATACCTATTTTCGTTTACTACGAAGGGTTTAATTTCGTGTCGGGTACTGTCCCTAAGTAATGTCAAAATTAAAACATCGTTTACATAGTATGAATCATTTATTACACCCAGTAAAAACATCAATTAAAACACCAAAACGAATGCTTCATTGTAGAAAATTTAATAAAAACAACTATATTTTAATTGGCCACAGATAATAGTTTCAATTTTGTATAAATATATATTTTAAAACAATAAAAATCTTGCTTTTTCATCTAATTTTCAATGCTACAATAAACAACAGACGTAATATTATTTTTTAGATAATAATTTATCATCACTATATTTGTGGACATTCTTTTGGCATCTGTGCAGATCTTTATAATAAAACAGTAATTTCGAACATATGCAACTACTGAGAATTCAATAGTGACATCTTATATGAAGCAATTTAAATTCTTAAAAAATACACCTTTACCCTAAGACATAAATTTTCTGTAATGAAAGCAGTTAAGCGATAATTGTACTTTTTAAGTGTATAAAACTTTAAGGCAAATAAAATATTCGATAGCAAATTCACTTAAATTAGGAAAGTTTCATATAGTTTATTACCATTAATTAACACATCAATAACTGTGTCATAGTAAAGTAAAATATATACTACTAAATATGCGTAATCCTGAATCCTTATAATTCTTAGATAGCTTATGATGACATTTATGTATAACGCCATTCTGCAATCATAATCTTTATTAAATCACCTATGAATATCTGCCAATGTAAAGATATAGCAGATAAATGCGTATATAAATCATGTTTTCGACCACAATAAATATTACATTTTACTATTTTAATCGACAAATATTAATTTCATTTCATTTTGCTAACCTATACTTAATATATTGTTATTAATATTAATTTTCATTTAAGGCCGTATAAGATTTTATTGAAGCTTTTTATTGAATATTTTAGACTTGTTTTATGAAGTAGTGCTTTTAATGTTCATACCTGGATATTTTACAAGCAACAAACTTAAAGAATATAAAATGTCTTTGTCTGTAAATGCAAACAGTTACTATTAGAGTTATTAATCTTGTAACTAGTTCTGCTACTAAATCGTATGTTATAATAATGATTTGGGGGAAAAGAGGAATTCTTTTTTACATAAATTATTTCAGTAAGTAAATAGTCGAAATACATCAGTCGTTTTCCAACAAAATTGTAAATTTTATTTAAAAGGCACATTTATTGAGGCTTAAGTTCTTTTAGTATAACTACAGAATTATGTTTTTTTTCACACACACATAAATAAACTCATAATCATATTCAGTTACTGTTTTACAGATCATATTATTGTGTAAAAATAGACAATACTTATATTTTTATTTGACTGTTATACAGCTCACGAGGTTTCTCTCAATCACAGGCTAATAAATTCCGTTAATATTTCTATAAAGTAAATAATTTTTAATCATCTCACATTAGTGGGCATTTTATTTCAAGTAATTAAAACTTGATTGAAAAATAAAAAGAATTTATAACAGGCTGATAAACATTAGATGTTTAATTTATAACATTAACAAATATTAGTACTGTAAGCGCCAAAAATACGACAATGCCATTATAAAGAATTTTCATTAATAAATAATGGATCAAAGATATAATAAGTTAGTCTATCGTTCATAAACAAATCTCTAAACGATGTAATTATATATAAATATGAATTCTTATTTTATCTATTGAGATTACAAATTTCGAGATAAATACAACAGACCGTGGTTTCTATGAACTCACATAGTGATGCTATATCGACAGTTTAGAAATCAGTAATATTATCGATGTTATCGATAGTATGACACTACTGTCACAACGCCCTTATCGGAACGCATGAAAAGTTTTAATTATTATAAAAAAAAAAACACTTTCTTTATGAAATGGCGAAGAGCCACAAGATCGTACGGACGGCTTCGTACAAAGCATAAGCATAGACAAATATTCATATCAATTCTATACGACTTAAATATATATTCTCTATAGTGAATAAGGCCTTTAATAAAATCAGACTCGATTCAGATTACTATAACATTTCTTATATAAAATCATGCCATTGGATTGGACATAGGATTTTTTACATTAAACGTTCTGTAGTAATTTTTATATTTAATATAAAAAAAAAACTGTCGAAATACTTTAAAAAGTAAATCATTCTATTTTGCACTTAGAAAAATCTTCTATCTTATATTGAGCCAATATATCGGAAAAGTTTTGTTTTCCTTTTCCAGAAAAAATAATTAAGATTAACAACAAAAAGAAATATTATAGGACTTAAAACATTAATATAATGTAACTCAAATTTCTTTAAGTTATATCTGAACCTTAAAGTTGTTGGTTTGTTTACAAATAAATATATCTATAAGAAAAAAAAAAACAGATATATATTTTGGGTGTACAAAATACTACCAATGGTTAGGAAATTTAATCTGAATCGAATCCTTTTAAAATCTTAAGTAATGTTACAACTATGTTCTTATTTGTTACAATGTAGGGGAGGAATATTGTAAATTTAAAGCTGATGAATACAAAATGGAAGAAGAGAGCAGAATATAAAAGATAAAAGATTCCAACTTATGCGATAAATTGACATTATAATATATAATAATGAAACAATAACATCTCACTGCTTAACCTTATAAATCAAATAGTAATCAAATAAATGTTCTGTGGTGGTATATGAAAGAAAATTATGTGCACGCAGACACATATAATAAATCTTAGTACGGTGTATAATTAACAAATGTAAGCTTCCTTACGATGAGATACCGAGCAGGCTCAGCAGACACTTCTTGTAGTGGCCGGAGCAATCCCCCTGGAAAGATAAGATTTTTGATGTTATAAAAATAAACCCTTTTTTATTAGCATTAGATATAAGGACACAAGTCACACTTTATAATTTTGCTTGAGTTGGTTACTGTAAAATCATAGACACATTTTCTTTCTTTTTAATGGAATATTGGAGAAAAAAAGTGAAATCTATCATAAGCACTTATGTGGAGGTAGCTATTTGTATCAATATAGTTGCAGTTTGTTTTCTTTTTAATTATGAATATTTAAATATGTAATTGCTTCACTTTTCTAGTAAATGTTCTATTAATAAGACTAAATAGCAGGAGAAAGCTTGTCCTGTATAATACCAACATGTAATTCAAATAGGTAATTGATCTATGACATCGATAGTTCAATTGATACTTAGACTGACACCACGCTTCTTTTATATGTAGCCGTTTACGTAATAATAGCTGTAAACTCAAAGTCCCGGGTTTGAGTCCCGGTTGAGTCAATGTAGAAAATGGACTATCTTGTATTGTCTTTGGTTTGGGTGTTGAGACATTCATTTTTTCATATACTCCATAATACTGGAGCTTTATACACTTATTTTAGAATCTCAACAATGAATATGATGTCGACTTATATTTCTTTTTTAATGCTCTTTTACAGGAAATATTATAAAGCGTGACGTATACATACATTAAAAAATAGAATCGCGAGATCTTTACACTCGATATTATCGTCTATTAAAATCAGTACTATCGATAAATCCCATAGTTTCAACACGCTTGCCAAAATTATCGATAATAATATCGCAACAACACTACTCACCTCTATCCAGCTCTGCAGGGATTCCCCGTACTTGCTTTGAAACATGTCTGCGATGTCGCCGAGATCAACTTCTGATCGAGTCACCATGATGCGTATCAGCTGACGATCGTTCGTGCCCAAACCCTTCATGGACTTGTGGAGATGTTCCGCGAAGAATAGCGGCTTGTTGCGGACCACTTTCACTGTAATCAATCAATCAATTATTTATTGCATAAAATATGGTACGGGTACAACAGATGTCATAAAATAAGAGTATCACATATTTACTGTCAAACAGTGTGTAATAGTTTTAATATGTAAAATATTATTAGTTTTAATTTATAATAAATTCACATTATAACCTTTTCATGCATTAACCTTATTTTTATTTTATTCGCACATCATTTATTCAAAACATTTGATACATTTCCTACTACATATTAACTCAGTCTTATAATTTAAATACATTAAATAGCCATTATTTCATAAGTAAATCAATTTACATATTACAATAACAAGAAGTCAAGTATGCTTAATATATAAATCCATGTCAATTGTAAAATAATTTTATCATACACATTATAAAATATGTCCTTTTATATAATATAGCGTCATTTACTCTTCTAAAATTGTTTGCATTCTAAATGTTCCTGTATAGAGTAGAATAATTTGTTCAGAAGCCACTCCGTAATAAAAATAAAGTCAAATAGAGTATTTATTAAAAGAATTATAAGTTCCAACTAACATGGCAGCTCTATCAAATCCGACGATGTCCGAACGTACAATTCAAAATAGTGAGTCTTATTTTAAGCGACATAAGGTGTAAAATACCACTCGTTGAGTGTCCGTCTAACTTACACTTAGCAGGGGCCAAGCGTGTGGATATTGGTGATACATGAATCATTCTGATTGGCCGACATTTGCCGCGCATTGAAATTTAGTCTTCTCTGCAGGTCTCTGTACATCAGTGAGTCAAATCATTTCCTAATGTAATTTTCGAAAGAAAGTCACCAGCTTCAACAGAAGTGACAACATTTACAAAGACACGTGGAAATCGGCCACCTCTAGTAAGCTGGTTTGTTTTGATAGTTTTTTTTTTTTAATGTGATAGGGGGCAGACGAACAGACGGATCACCTGATGGTAAGTGATTACCATCGCCCATGGACACCTGCAACACCAGAGGAGCTACAAGAATGCTGCCGGCCTTTGAGGGACGAATATGGTCTACGTTTGAAAGTTTGAACATCCTATCGGTCCGGAAATACCGCTGGCGAAAACTGTTCAGAGTTTGACTGTACGAGGCAGGAAACTTCCAGAAAAACGCACAGTTGAGGACTTCCAACCATCCAAAAAAGTAGAGGGGTGAATGGTATACAATTACATCTCATCTGTTTCCTTTTGTAGTATCAATGTAAAATATATCACTGTTTGTTTAACCCTAAATAAAAAATATAAAAAAATTGTCAGTAACAAGTTGTACTAAAGAGATTATGATATACAGTAAACCTATACTTCCCCTCGGTCTTATAAAAAGCTCGCTTACCGATAGCGGTTTCACTTGTATGGTCCTATATAATACATATAAACCTTCTTAAATCGATTTGTGAATTTATGAAAACTGTATTAAAACCTATAAAACACAAACTAAACGTTTAAGGATCTCACGGTACAGACAGCGGGAAAACAGAAGACGGACTTTGTTTTACACTATCTCATAAGAACTATTTCAAAATTCAACCGCCCCTGATGGAGACGAGGTTCAAACCCGTAACTTTTTTAATCATCTTCAATGCTATTTATAGACAAGGTTTAGGGCCGGTTTCACCAGTTGCTGATAAAGTCCCTGATAGTCTATTAGTAACTTATCTGCCAGATAAATTACAACTTTTGGTTTCACAGGTCTCGGATAAATATATCTGGCAGATAAAGTATTAGATATGTTATCAGCCGATTCAAGTGGCTGATATAGACGTTATCTGATAGATAAAAAAAAAGTTTCAATCGACGGGAACAAAAATAGTTTTAGTTGTAGACCATTATTGTGTGCTTTGCGTCGATTGCAGTCACAAGTGTCACAAATATTCTAAAATGGATTTATTTGAGTTTTTAGAAGACGGATTAGATGAATATTTCGAACTATTACGCGACCCCGTAGGAATCGAGTAATTAACCCTAGACCTAATTATTTAGAATCATTTGACGATCAAGATTTTTAGGAATCGATTTCGGCTTACCAAACGGGCTGTTATTTATATTCTATCGTTAATAGAAAGTGATATAAAAACTACAACGGGCTATTAAGTAAAAAGTCTTCGTTAACTAGTAAGTAAAGAAGCTCCATTTGTTTCTTCTTGATTAAAATTCACACTTCTTTCACGTTTTTGTTTTTCCATTATTAATTAACAAATACGAAAATAATACACAAAGAAAAGTTTAAAAACTGAAAAGCGTCTTAAGCACAAAATATCAACAAAGCAAAACAAATGATAGTTGCGTTTCGTTTCTGTAAACACGTAGCTAAGTATACGAATATCGTATTATTTTCATTCTAGAATCATAAAATTATAATTCAAAATATGTGAAAAAAGTTTACTTAAATAATATTGAACACAAAAAAAATATTAATTAAGTTTTAAAAATGATTTTTACTGACGATAATTTGGGTCGTAGTATTGAAACGCAAAAAAGCGACGTTGCCGTTCCGGCAACTAATAAGTGGCCGATAACTTATCTGCCAGATAAATTATCTAACAGTTTGATGGTGAAACAGAAAAAAGTTAACAGCAACCTTTATCCAGTAGATAGCGTTAACTATCAGATAACTATCTGAAACTTTATCAGTAACCGGTGAAACTGGCCCTTAGCGTCATTGTAAATTTACGCTAAAATTGCAATTATAGTATCACACTCAATTCATGTTTCCTATATACAGAGAATAAGCAAATCGACTACCTCCTAGGAGTAAATATTACTCCCGTAGAACCTCACAGGTTAACCTTAGCTTAGTCTCTGTTAAATAATATGAATTTTGACTAATACTATAAAGTGCAACCTCAGCGTAAATTTACTCCAACACTAAGGGCCAGTTTCACCGGTTACTGATAAAGTTTCAGATAGTTATCTGATAGTTAACGCTATCTACTGGATAAAGGTTGCTGTTAACTTTTTTCTGTTTCACCATCAAACTGCTAGATAATTTATCTGGCAGATAAGTTATCGGCCACTTATTAGTTGACGGAACGGCAACGTCGCTTTTTTGCGTTTCAATACTACGACCCAAATTGTCGTCAATCAAAAATCATTTTTAAAACTTAATTAATATTATTTTTTGTGTTCAATATTATTTAAGTAAACTTTTTATACTTATACTTTGCATATTTTGAAATATAATTTTATGATTCTAGAATCTCCCGACATAGCTCGCAAAGTTTGTAAGCTGAAGTGGCAGTGGGCAGGCCACATCGCTCGACGAACCGATAACCGATGGGGACGAAAGGTTCTCGAGTGGAGACCACGAACCGGAAGACGCAGCGTGGGTCGACCCCCGACTAGATGGACGGACGACATCGTCCGAGTCGCGGGCGGCCGCTGGATGCAGCTGGCGCAATGTCGTCCGTCGTGGAGTTCAAAGGGGGAGGCCTATGTTCAGCAGTGGACGTCTTCCGGCTGATGATGATGATGATGATGATGATGATTCTAGAATGAAGTAATACGATATTCGTATACTTAGCTACGTGTTTACAGAAACGAAACGCAACTATCATTTGTTTTGCTTTGTTGATATTTTGTGCTTAAGACGCTTTTCAGTTTTTAAACTTTTCTTTGTGTATTATTTTCGTATTTGTTAATTAATAATGGAAAAACAAAAACGTGAAAGAAGTGTGAATTTTAATCAAGAAGAAACAAACGGAGCTTCTTTACTTACTAGTTAACGGAGATTTTTTACTAAATAGCCCGTTGTAGTTTTTATATCACTTTCTATTAACGATAGAATATAAATAACAGCCCGCTTGGTAAGCCGAAATCGATTTCTAAAATCTTGATCGTCAAGTGATTCTCAATAATTAGGTCTAGGGTTAATTACTCGATTCCTACGGGGTCGCGTAATACGTTCGAAATATTCATCTAATTCGTCTTCTAAAAACTCAAATAAATCCATTTTAGAATATTTGTGACACTTGTGACTTCAATCGACGCAAAGCACACAATAATGGTCTAAAACTAAAACTATTTTCGTTCCCGTCAATTGAAACTTTTTTTTTATCTATCAGATAACGTCTTTATCAGCCACTTGAATCGGCTGATAACATATCTAATACTTTATCTGCCAGATATTTTTATCCGAGACCTGTGAAACCAAAAGTTGTAGTTTATCTGGCAGATAAGTTTCTGATAGACTATCAGGGACTTTATCAGCAACCGGTGAAACCGGCCCTAACTCTTGTTTATTATAATTGATATAAATAGCATAAAATAATCGTTATATGTCTAGTAAATTTGGAAATGTAAAAAAGGAGGTTGATATGGAAATTGAAATGTAACAGGATAAGATATAGATAGAAAAATGTAATATAGAATAAGTTTACTATATAATAATAAAGAAATGTGTATATTGTTGTTCAAACCCAAATGAATAAATAAGATAAATAAAGAATCGAGTAGAGTGGAATAGCCTAGGACCGGCAATCCCAGCCGTAAGAATGAAAGTGGAAGGACAAAAGAAAGATAAAGTATGAGGAATGAAAGAAAGCAAATGCGAGAACTGGAACGAATGAGAAAAATAGAACAATAAGGGCCTGCTAAAAAGTGGGGACAACTAGGAAGCCCGGCCATAGACTAAGGCCGGGCACAAAAAAAAAAAACTCTTGTTTATTAATAATATTGCTTATTCATAGTTTTGATAAACTAAAATAATGTATAATAAACTAAGAAATAATGTAGAAGTAACAGCATGTCTGTTACATTAATAGTTCCCGAGATACGGTACTATGTTTGTGGAACTGCTGCTAGTCCGAAAACACTCCATACAAATTCAAGGCACTGACACAGTGCTACGGTAGCGAAAAATATATGGGTGTCTGGGCAATCTTCGTAATATATTTGTGCGTAAATGTTAATAGCTGTTGTAATAAAACTTGTAACTTTTTATGTAAATAATTGAATGCCATATGTATTTTAGCAATTCGTTGTAGTATATTTTCCGAATTAGTGTTATAAAACTTATTTTGTTACACATTTTCTAAGATATAATGCTTATTTTTTTCCGAAAATATAACTGAAACCTGTATTTTCACTTGCAGGACACAAGCCTACTGTTTACAAACTATTTAATGAAGAGCAAATATCTCTAACCTCAACAAATTAACAATACATATATAATATACATTGTAGTATAATAAAAATCTAAATCGTTAGACATAACAGAAATGACTCACCGATAGCTCGCAGTGCTTTTTCGATGTCGCCAGAGAACTCTGCCTTGATAGCATCGTCGATATCATGTCCAGTAAGGTACTGGTACTCCTGGAATACAGCAGCCAGCTGTTGGAACGAACGGGAGCACAGGATGGCGTTAAACACAGACTCGTCTGTGCCAAGACGTAGCTCACCTGTAAAAATAAAAAATATGGTTCACGACCAGCCTTATTATGCACTAGCTTTTCGCCAGCGGTTTCGCCCGAGTAGTCCCCACCCAACTGTTAAGCAGGATAAGAAGTAGCCCATATATCATATATAATTCAGGCTGAGAATTTAATTTAATAATCCATTTAGATAAATTTTCATATCATGACACGTACATAATAGGCAATATTTTATTTATTTCATCACTAGCCTATATATGACCCCGCTGCTGGGGCTCAGGTCTTCCAAAAAAATGAAAATGGAGAATGGACCATGACCCACCATGAGCCATCATTTGTAATATGAGTATAGATTAATTACCAGCTTGGAGAAGGCTCCTTGCATCTTCCCTCGCCTTTTCTTGATCCACATGGAAGTCTTCAGATCTGTTGCCCTGTAAATAAAGAGTGAGATTTTAAAATCAAGTATTTACATACAAATATTGTTCACGTTAAGACACATTTTAATGTGTCTTTTTCCTAGTGGGTTACCCAAATACTCGACGTCCTGAATCCGTGAAGGCTTCCCGCCTTGTTACCCTGTTGGTTACAATCGGCCGGGTGGCTTGGAGGGAGTCGGCCAGCGTATGTTGGTGAGGGAATTTTCCATCTTGCACTCTGGTAGTGGCATCGTCGGGGCCGGGCTATTGAAACACTGTACAGTGTGTGGAGTTACCAGGCCTGGGCGGTGCCGCTGCCAGAACGTGACTAAGGAACGGAACACTGGCTTGGCTCACGCTGGGCTGGAAATTGGTATCCGGGGCTATCAGGGTCGAGGTATTCACGAGGGTTCAGCCCAGGTGAACTCCCTATCTTAGACGGGTTAGGGTGAGAGATGCACAGTTTCGCATCTCTTGCCTTTGACGAGGGGCAGTCTAGCGTGGTAGCGCGCTCACTAGGTATTGTACGCTCTTCGTCCTGTCTGGGGAGTTGGACTCGAATGTTCCTGAGCTCTTCCCCTAACCCGAGACGCTCAACCCCTTTTACAGGACAGGTCGGCCTGTAAAAGGGGTTGAGCGGGGACGGCATGCGCGGAAAGTGGTCCCGTTGGGGACCGTTACCGTGCGTCGTTCCCCCGCAGTGAGGGACATCGCTGAGTTTTAGTGGGTAGGCCCCGGCTTTTTGACCAGACCCCACTCTGGAAGTTGGTCCGCAGGGGAGAGCCCCACATAAGCGGGTATGCGTAACGCATTTCTCATCAAAAATAAAAAAAATAGTGATGATGAGTTAAAATGTCATATGACGTCACGCTTTGCTACATTTTCTACAAACATGTGACGTAGTGAGCCCCAACTCCTCCACGTTAATGCCGGTTATCTAAGTTAAAATAGATAAAAAAGTAGTAAAATAGAGTAAAAAAAATACGTATCTAATATTTGTCTATTATCTGACTGACGCAATAAATAGATTTTTTTTACCAGTTTTCATTCCTATTAGGCTATAACTTGCCGTAGGTGAAAGAATATTAAAAAATCTGTCTAGTAGCTTCGAAACCTATTCGGTGCAAACAAACACACAATCAAAATTTTCCCTTAATATTATTAGTATAGACTTAGAATAAGGTATAGATAAACTGTCGGTCCTGCCTTCACATGGGGAGTGTACCATTTTTTTTTTATTTATCTTTAATAATATCTGGTCCCAATAAGAAATAAATAAATATTAAACAGCATCAGACACATTTCATAGACGCAAAGATGAGTAGCAAAAGCCTCTGTATTTTAGAGTATCTGAGACAACGAAGGTAATGCCCAGACCAGATTCAATATAGAAGTCCGTCTTCCACATTGACCCGACCAGAAACTGACACCTTGAAAACGTGTAAACTAATATATAGAGTACATCCATAATCTAATAGGAAATAACAAGCACATATTTTCTGTTCTAATAGCGGAATACACTGTAGTAAAATAATATTTCTCCAGTAAATCAATATTTCTCGGTATCGGCGTCTATTTATAGTAACAGTCTCAATGTTTACAATCCTAAGAAAACTATAAAAGTCTATAAGCGTCATACTTATTTATATTAAAACGTCACAAACACCATCCATTATTAATGTCACCAAACAATTTACCGCGCGATCGTGATTCAACGGTTCCGTTGCACAATAATTAATTACTCATCATAGGACGTCATATGTGCGTTTGCTGCGTAACTAGTGCGCATTGTAAGGTCAAGTATTCAGTTATTTTTTATGCTGTTAACATCAGCCAAAGACTTATACTATACATATACTTGTAATTATGGTCGAGAGATGTGATTACTTGTGAATATGTCATAATTTAAGCAATTATTTATAACCAATAGACGAGAATCTGAATGAAGTAAGAAGTCTTAATAGCTAATAATTAATTGTATTAACTATTAAAAGTTCTTACTTCATTCAATTCTTGTTTTATCATCCCTTTAACGTCCCCTACTGCAAGGGCTAAGGCTCTCCATGACCCATCCACGCTGGGCTATTGCGAATTGGAGGGTATTAACGACAGCAAACGCAGCCAGGACCAACGGTTCAACGTGCCTTCTGAAGCACGGAGTAGCTAGAGATAATAATTTTTATGTCACCCATCCCGTGACCAACCTTGCGATAGTTGCTTAACAACAACGATCGCGGGCTGCGGCGCTTATCCACTACGCCAATGAGCTACTCAAATTATTGTTGTATTTGGCAAATATATCTGCTGAAGTTACCTATGACATATTCTTAGGTAATTAACCGACTTTTCTTGACTATAGATACGAGTGAGAGTCTTACAAAGAAGCAGATTAGACGCCGGAGCAAAATGTCGTCATCACTAAGATTATGGGTCAAGCAATGTAGAAAAACAATGTAATGTTTTACAATGCCGCACAATTCAGCAATATAAACTCTCAATTTAGAATTTATCATATAAAATTAGTTTGAAATAAAAATAATTAATACATAAATATCCTTATAAAAACTAAATAATAGGTACTTTTTAAATTAAATTTAAATCAGGAGTACCCCAAAACCATACCTTGCAAAGCAACTCATTTAAAAACCTAATTGATAGTAAAGGAACGCAATGCACATGTATCGTTATAACCAGAGTACAAATGTAACACAACTTTACAAATTATAACACGGTAACAGGAAAACACTCACCACGCATAATGACGTCATCAGCCGCTTGAAATTTCCTGACGTGTCGCCGCGGAGGTCATCCTCCAAAAAGGTTCCGTACACTGTAAAAGAATTGAAAGACACGTCATTATCAGATGTTGAGTAAAAACGATTGCCGTACTGAGAATATTGTATTGATTACGTCACACAATGCTACTAGATCACTGTCACAAGTGTCTTTGTAAACAAGCGAGACAGTTACAGTGACACACACTTAGTAAATTTACACACACCAAGCTTAGTAAATTTACATATAGGTATGGTGCGGTTAAAAGAAATGTTCTAATTATAAATTACTAGATATGCTATGCTGTGTCGGAGGTACTATGTTGATTTGCAGCTTTTACAAAGCAACGAGTTCTAGCTCATTTGGGTAATTTTTTTAAATTGACAAGTATCGAATTCTAGCTTTGGAAGTTGTATTTATCATTGTGATAATACATATTTTTTTGGTAATGACATAATTTATGTAAATGTCATTATTTATGATAAAGAGCTGGTAAGTTTCTTTCGCTTGTTCTTCTTGTCAGCTAAAAGACGTCCTGAATAAGTGGTAGGTAAAAAAAATATTGGGCGATTCAAAAGTGCTTGTAATAAGCCTACTTGAATAAAGGTATTTTCATTTCATTTTAGGACTAAACGTGGATAGTGGATTCGAGGCTTAACTACCCGAGCCTTATTTTATTACTCGGTCAAAGAAGATCTTAAATTCATAATCGCCAAATAGGGCGATGTTATTATTTTAAGATATTCGGTAAATTTCATCTTTTAGCTCTAGATAAATAAATTACTAACCCATGAAAATCTATTGCACATAATACTCTATTGAGTATTTACAACATTTTAATAAAGGAATCAGTTATGAAATTAAAAATTAATCACAAACAAAACACAGAACAATTGACATAAGCCAAGGCCCGCAGCGTTATAGTCCGAGCCATTTTTCAAAATATGAAATTTTCCGCGAGCCGCATTCAAATACGTTAAAAGATTCTTCACTTGGATAGATATTAAATTTGTTACAAAGTGTTTTATGGTATTCGATGTCAGTAATTTACAAGACATTTTGAAAGACACACGATTTTTTTTTAATATTATAGCACGAAAATACATATACATATACATATACATACATACATATACATACAAATATATAATATATATGTAGATAACAACACACACCCACAGGCACAACACAATACATACACTCACAACACACAATACACACATTCACAACACAATACCTCACCCACGAACTCATTCACTCATTCATTTTCATTTTGGTTCTTGTTAACATTAAAATATGTACTTGCTACAAAGCTGGAGCGAAATGGTCCCAATACAAGTATTTTATATTACTTACTGGGATAATTTCAAGGTTGTAAATGATGGAAATAATGTTAATAAAGAACATTTTTATTATTATTATTAAAATGAAAAGGGGCGTAGGACACATTTATCGATAGCCTCAAAAACCGCATGCGCTCGCGAACCACAGTTTGGCTACTCCTGACATTGGCTATAATACTAATTTCTAACAGAGAGTTGACACACTATCATCCATCCTATTGATAGTAGGTATATAATGGGATGAATAACCTTGGCTCGTAGTGTACTTCAGAGAATAAAATGAATAAGAGAAAGCTGGCAGTCTCATAATCAATAGAAATAGGCGCCCATCGACGTCGCTGCTTAGTCAAGAAAATTGCAAGATTTGGCTCAGCTCCAAATCGTGAAATATACGTAGTTTTTGTAAGGTCATCAACTTGTTACGTAAAAATGTGCAAAATACTACAGCGGGAAATCCAAGAGGATCACCGATACGATATGTTATGAAAATGCATTTTATTCATAGTAGACTAACGGTCAGTTACGTATACGTATAATGAATGTCAAATTTGTATTGGTAATGTCGCTTAAACCTAATGACAATTTTAATGAACGTTTGTGCGACTGCCTTTTAGAGGCGACTTGAATGAGCACAATTTTTTTTAAATCAAGCTTCTATCATCTACATAACGTTAAAAATTGTATGCTAACGGCTGGTTTCTGAATTGAGAAAGTACAAAATCTCAACTGATTATTCTTAATAAATTAAGTTTTTATACGTTTCATATGGCAAAAAGTATGAGATTTATCAAATTGCTATCAACTGATAATTAAAAATTTATAAATCAGCAATGAAAACATGTTTTAATGACATTTAAAGTGGCTTAAGCACGGGTTGAGGCGTGCTCAACTTCAAATTCTCAATTCAGAAACTGGGCGTACCTGAACTAGCTAATCTAATAGTAGTGTGCCGAATTGCGACCACCAGTACTTAGTTTTATAGTTATTCGTGGCTTTAGCTATTGGAAATTTAGCGAATTTTGTTAATAGAAAATTAAAGATATTTGTTTTTGAAAACCGTTTGAAAAAATGCAATCCTTTCAAAAAGTTTTGTTTTTTTACAACTTGCAATTCGTTTGCTCATAAATAGTAGTAATAAAATAGTAATCGGTTCAAATAATGTCTCTCTTAAACCATGCTAGATTCAATTATTTAAAGGGAAAACATAACATTTACCGTTGCTTATAAGCAGACAAAAATTTTGTTACTTTATCAAATATATTATAAAAGAATCACATCTCATATAGCAATGGAAACAACTGCAGATTGAAATGACCAGTCAGTCGGATATAAATCGTTAAGCGTTTACAAGATCATGTCTCCAAGGACACGCATTAAGTAATGTTTTAGGCAATTACCCCAATACTGCTTGCAGAGAATAGTGGGTAATCTGGAAATTTATTTGTAATAAATAATTGAACATTTTGTAATCTTCTACTCGCAATGCAATTTACGTAAGTCATTTTAAGCGAAATATTCATGGGCGTGGCTTTAAAAAAGGGGAGAGGGAAATGTCGCAAGAGAGGCAAGACAGAAAAAGGAGGAAAAGGATGATCAATGCCAATTAAAATCTATTTGTTTACCATAAAAAAATCGGCAACGTATTTATTCCCAAGAAGTACGAATCATGATAACTCCCAGCTACATATTATAATCTACAGATTTCAGACAGCCTTGATACCTCTTCGTATGGTTTTTGTTAATTAAATTTAACGTACGAAATAGGATCCTTAATATACCTAAATAGTGACACTTAAAACGATAAAAATGGGCAATTGTTTTTCTATTTAATTGAGAACCAGTAGGTATGTCTTCTTTTATAGTATATTTCGGATATTGAGCAAAAAAGCAACAGATGCAATAAAGATTATTAAGGGCGCGTGCGTTTATGTCAAGGCTGGAAGTTTGGCAAGGGTGTGGCAGACGGCAGGCACACATACTACCGCGTATAATTAATAGCTGCTTTTAACCTAACCACACTGCTACGAGGGTCAAACTGAAAGTTCTTAGAACTGGCCACTTATAAACAATATAATAAAAAAATAATTCTAAAATTTGAAAATATAACTCTTTGCCAATATTACTGAGTATATATTTCATTCATTTGTCATTTGTTTTACGATTTGGCGGCAAATTGAAAATTGTCTGTGTCACGTCATCATGAATTTAACACGAGAAAATTTTCGTGCAATGATTTTTTATGACTTTCGATGTCATTTAAGTCAACAAGAAAGTTATGATAGACTACGATTGGCCTTTCACGATGAAGCCCCATCTCGTGCGACTGTTTACAGCTGGTTTAATGAGTTTAAACGTGGTCGCACTAATCTCACTGATGATTTACGTGAGGGACGGCCTTCTACGGCGACGACTGAAGATAACATCTGTGTTGTGCGGCGTATGATAGAGACTGACAAAAGAGTGACCTATCAACAGATTCGGACAAGCTTAGGCATCGGTATGAGTCAAGTGCACAAAATCCTCCACGAACATTTAGCGGTCAGGAAGCTTTGCGCCCGGTGGATACCTCATAATTTGACTGAGGCTCAAAAACTCCATCGTGTGCATTAGTGTCGTAAAATGATTGAAAGATTTAACGGAGGTGACTCAAATGCTGTGTTCGACATACTAACAGGTGACGAAAGCTGGATTTACTGTTATGATCCTAAAACCAAAAGACAATCTGCTTAGTGGGTGTTTCCTTTCGAGGAGTTGCCAACTAAAGTGAAGAGAGATCGAAGTGCGGGAAAAAAAATGGTGGCCTCGTTCTTTGGAAGGATAGGTCATTTTGCAACAATTGTGTTAGAGGATCAAAAAACAGTTTCTGCAGAATGGTACACTACCAATTGTTTGCCACTTGTCTTGGAAAAAGTTCGAGAGAAACGACCTCGCAGTAGGATCCTCCTTCACCACGACAACGCCTCGTCGTACACCGCCAAGCGAACGATCGACTATTTGGCGACATCAAACGTTGAATTACTGGGTCACCCGCCGTATAGCCCCGACCTCGCGCCTTGTGATTTTTATTTATTTCCAAAAATTAAAGAAAAACTTAAAGGAAAGCGGTTTATGAATGCTGAAGAAGCGGTGGCTGCGTATCGCGATGCCATTGAAGAGACCCCTAAGGACGAGTGGGCAAAGTGCTTTTCCCAGTGGTTCCATCGCATGCAGCGGTGTATTGACGTGAATGGACAATATTTTGAAAAGATATAATAAAACTAATAACTGGCTAATGTAATCAGTTTTTGATTTTCTAAGAACTTTCAGTTTGACCCTCGTATATGCAATAATAATTTGACAAAAGTTTAAACACAACAAAAATAAGTTTATACATTTTTATAGACAGCATAAAATATTACGGTTACTTGATTGAACCTTTACAAATATTACGGTTACTAATTGCCATTGTAAAGTTCATCATCATCATCAGCCCTTTAACGTCACTACTGCAGGAGCTCAAGCCGTCCTTGTGGATGGTTAAGGAGAATGGACCAGGACCCTCCACGCCCTGCCCAATGCGGATTGGCGGGTATTAACGACTGCAAATGCAGTCAGGACCAACGGTTCAACGTGTCTTCCGAAACACGGAGTAGTTTCGAGATAATAATTTTTCGATCACCCATACCGTGACCGGTCCTCACGTTAGTTGTTTAAGAACTTATCCACTACGCCATTGAGCAAGAAATTTACTTCAAGAAAGTAGACTGACTTTGAGGTAAGGGAGAGAGGGAAGAGATCGAAATAAAAAAAAAGGAATACTAAAGCAAGAAATTTACTATAATTGTAAGGTTAGATTGAACAAAAATATAGAATCAGGTGTATCTATACAGTCAAAATCTAGTTTCAAGAAAGTAGACTGACTTTAAGGTAATGGAGAGAGAGGGTAGAGAATTAAATGAAAAAAGGAAAAGTTAGTAGAATACAAAAGCAAGAAATATACTATAATTCGTTACTCACTGGCCGTGTACGCCTGCTTGATAACCTGGATTTCATGGTTGGACATGGTGCACATGACCTCGATAAGAACGTCCTCATCAGTGCCGATGCCGGCGATGGCATCGTGTAATTCCTTAGCGTAGAACTGAGGAAGGGGTGTCATCAAAGCAACGAGGAGGTCCTCGAACTTACCGCTCGTCTCACTTTTCAGATCGGATACAAGGTCCTGGTAAAAAAAAAACAATCAATAATAAACGACGACGAAAATTCTTGTGCTTGTTTTAATATTACAGCATTGAAGTAAATATAATTTGCTTGACCTTCCCAATTTATTTATTTAGGGTCGGCGCAATACGTATTCTTCTTCCATACGCCTCAATCAGTCGACATCTTATTCGCATAAGAAAGATCTTATGTAATAATCTTTCACACAATCTATCCTCAATTAAGAAGAGGTTTCTTCGGTCTCCTTCTAATCTCTCCTCTTTTTATTACATGTAGATCATCTCTTCTCATCACAGTTTATACTAATACCATAAAGAGGAGAGATCAGGCTCCGAAACTATAGAACCGATTTAAAAAAAAAAAATCACCTATGGGAAGGGCAACATAGACTAAATAAAGTCCTGGGAAAACAGGTAATGACAAATAAAACGATTCCGCTGTTCGTTTTCCATATATGTGGCCGGCAAGAAATGGGCACACTTTCTCTCTTTATCGACGCCGTAGGTCACTTACATAAACAATTCGATGTATCAAGCCTTGTCACACACTACTTTAATTGTTAATATCTCGGTAATTTACTAAAATACTTCACCAATGTCATAAGTTAAAATGTAAGTGTTTTAGCACGATAATAAAAATGTGAAAAATAATATTTATCTCAAAAGCTACTTATTCAACAAAATGCTATTAAAGTGCGGAGGTTTCCTGTAGGTTATTAAATTAATGATAGGCGCCCGACTTTAATATAAGTATCATTTTTCAAATTTTTATTAAGATTGAAATTGGTGGTTTTTTTTTTTGAAGTCTTCATGTCATGTTTTTAGTGATAATTATATTTTTTCTATAATAAGTAACAATAAAAATACTTTTCGGAAACAGCGTCAAAATCGGTTCTTGGTTGAACGCGAGATAAACGCGGACAATACATACAATACAACATGTGTTAAAGTGCGAACCTCCATTTTTAATCTGTTAATATACTTAAAACCTTCGCCTGAGCCTGATAAATACTATGCTGAAAACCAATTCAAAATCGGTTCAGCCAAATGAGAGATAATCGCGCCAAACAAACATACATGTCAAACTGAGAACCTCCTTTTATTAAAGTTGTTTAAAATAAAAATAGTGGTCATCAAATAGGGATCTATATACTGTCCTGTGTCCTCTTTTTAGTAGGAAAAATATTTAAGATAAGCAATGAAAATATAACGCATATATGAAGTTTTTCATAAATGTACCAAAGAAGTTAGAATTGTGTCGACCAATTATCTGTAGTTACGATATCATTAACACGATAACATGACGTAGCACTATCCAGGGACAAACAAAACTCACGCGAAAAACTTTTTCACGTATATACAGTTACTAGCAAGCACATTGGATAACCACAGAACGCCTTAATCCTTGATATCCACAATCTTGTTAGTACAATTTAATTGTATTATGTACAAATTAATATATTGCTAGTAAAACTGATTGCAGAAATATAGCCTAGTGTGTATTTGTGTGTCTACATATAACAAGTTCCCGACCGTTATAAACTGATTTGAACATTCTTAAACATCACAGCAGTAATCCAATCAGCGTATAATTAGGGATGCCATCCGTCGGAGTTCTCCTGGTTCTTTCTTTTACATACTGTCCGGGTTAAAATGTTTACAACGTTAGACAACCGACAGTTGTGTTTTGTGTATAAATAATAACTACCTATCCAAATTTGCATATTTTTTTATAGATAACCAACATTGGTATACCTGCATTGCATTTGCAGCGTATAGTTTAAATTAATTACAAGAAATCCAGAGAGACTACAAGGAATATCAACATTTAGTTAATACACATAACGGAGTTATATCTAACATCGTTAAGTCTATTAACTAAATAATGGCCATAATGGTTATTTTACCTACGATAAAGAAAACTATCTAACCTAATAGTCCATGTATAATCTGAAATTAAACAAAAGTCATGATAAGACTTCACTTGTTATCTGAAAAATATGGAGATGTGTTTTCTGTGGACAATGCTACCAGTTGTAGTATGGTATTTTAATATACAAACACTAAGATAACAAATTACCATACTAAACTAGAATAATATGATGTCGGTAGACGCTGGTGTGGTAACAGGAATATTCAATTAAGAAAAACAAGATTTCCTAGTCTTTGTTACATTTTAAAGCACGTTAGGCTATACAAAACTGGCAAATTCTCCGCCTTATTTTATACCTTAATGCACTGTAGATGGAGTTCAAAATATCTACTACCTGGCCCCTTGAGATGCTTTGAGAAAGAAGCTGAGAATTCACTGAAGAGAGCAAAGTCAAAAATCTTTTTATTTTATTTTATGGGATAGGGGGCAGACGAGCTGAAGGATCACCTGATGGTGAGTGATTACCGCCGCCCACGGATACCTGCAACACCAGAGGAGCTACAAGCGCGCTGCCGACCTGTGATTTTTTATACACACTAAAAATAATAAAAGTACGTTTCCAGCCAAACCAGCGCATTTGGGCATTTAATTTGAAATACCTTGTACATTATGGTACTGTCACCAGAAGAAAGAAAGCTTCGAAAGCGATCGAATGAAGAGAGCGATTTATGAATGAATAAATATACAGAAGAAACTCTCATGATTGTGGATAAACGATGCAAGGACGTGAAGATGGTATACATTTGTTTTCATCACGTCCAAAAAAGCACCTACTGAGAAATTCAGCTCATTGTGTGAAACCCAATGTTTTGGTCATAGTAAAGATATCTAGAAGCATTTTAATAAACCCTTTTTCCTAGTAACATTCCACTAAATCCTATATTTTTTATTAAAAAACTAAATCATAACTGCAGAGAATGTTCATTTATCATATTTATAAAATAATCACACTACTAAATATTTCTGAACACTCACCTTTCCATAAAGAGTCTTAAATTCAAACGCGATCCTGAGGCGTTGTTCGTTGCTGCGCCTAGTGAGGACCTGAATAATAGCCTTCTCATTGGTACCGAAACCTTTCATGGCTTTTCGGAGAACGGCAGCATCTTCGCGAGGGTCAAAGGGGTTCGCTGGCACCACGGTTGGCTTGGACTGCAACAAACAATTGATAAGAAACGTACCTCACAGATAAATTAGTCACAGAAAAATTCAAAACTTTATAGTCACAAATAATGTATTTCTGATAATATCTAAATTTACAATGTTGATGGTATTGAATAAAATATTACTGACTCGCATGACCTTTTACTTGATGTCTAGATTTTACAGCTTACATTAAATAATGCAAATGAAGTACGTAAGCACAGTAAGTGTATCGAGAAGAAATTCAGACAAAACATAGTTCTATACTTTCGACTTTTTTACGGATCAGACGAAATCAACATTTGTAATCCTATGGGCGTATCCAATAACAATTATTGTTATAATAATAATTACACTGATTGACAAAAATGACCTTAATGAAAGTTAAATTAATTTGAATGGGATATTTTGTATCTACAATTAGCCTGTTAATAATCAGCATTTTTAAAAAGTTTCAGTCACCCTCAGTTTTCTTGCAACTGCAATACACCTTTTTTGAAGTAAATACGGTTGAAAATTGAATTTAATCGAGAAAAACAACTAACATTTGACTTTTATTCAGGATTTTCGGGAATATTTAGCGTCAGGTACATCTCTTTTGAGTGTCCAACAGCAATCCCAACTGTTCGGACTCCACTTGCCTTGGTATCGTTTTTCCATGTTGGATATATCCTGATGGAATCGCTCGTCGTGTTCATCACTAACGGCTCCCAAATTTTGAGGAAAAAAATCCAAATGAGAGTGTAAGAAGTGTATCTTTGAGCAGATTGTAAATTCGGATAGTTCACGGTGTGTCTAGATTTGTGATTAATAACTTTGATAGAAGTTTGGCAGAAATAACAATCTGATACATGGTCTTTCTGTTCAGACCATATCATTGGAACTGCAAACGGCATATGACGAGATCCTTTAGCCCATGATGTTAATAAACTAACACATTGTGCACAACAAACACTAGGAGTCCAGGTTTTGTCCAAATTTCGCACCGAAAAGCCAAAATAATTAAAATAACAGTTTTTAACTAATGGTGTCAAATTACGACGTCGACTTTTAATAGTAAGTTGACCGCAAATGTAACAAAAGTTATCAGGATGGTTTACACACACTCTGGGCATCTTATTACGATGTACAGAAACGACAATCACAAAAAAAAAACCGTTTTAATTTCAATTATTCAATATTAATTTATCGGAAACATACGTCGCTAAGCAAATTCCGCGTAATCAATTTAGTTTATGTTTAACGAAAACTGAGGGTGATTGAACAAAACCAAGTATGAGGTTTATATGCGGGTAGGTAGTAGTGTTTAAAATACCGACTCGATTTTGTTTAACAAAAATACTGTTTAGCAGTGTTAATAATAACTAATAGAAAGATAACTTTTATACGACGCTATAAAATTTGAAATACTATTTACTCGAGATTTACAGATTGTTAGTCAGCTCGTTTTCCTGTTAATATAATTCGGCAATAGGCATAATTCGTTTTGCTGTAACCATTACTTTTAATTGAATGACTCTAGTGATACGATTAAAATATAAAATTGGTATATTTGTATCAGTAAACAAAATAGGACCACTTGTTTTATTAATAATCAGTAAATTATTCCCTTGCGCCAAGCTAGCACCGATTATTATAGATAAAATTATTTTCTGCACCTGGTTTAATAACTACTGCCCTAATTTTGCTAATGTTAGCTAGATTGTATAGAGTCCATAGCGGTCCAATAAAAACTTCTTCTTACATAGTTATGTGGAGTCTTGTTATGTCCTAGATAACAAAAAATAAATATCTGACAGCGTTGGTTTGTGAAGATATCGCCATCTTTCATTCGTTTCATTTTCATTTTACATGTAGAAATTAATTTATTCACTTGACATTAGCAGAATTGAGCGAAATGCGCAGATAAGCCATTAATAAAAGAAGAAGAAGAAGACATTGCACTAATAATATGGCTCCTGCGATAGCAATAGTGCAAACACAAACACCAATAAAAAAGACACCATTGAGATATCATTCCCTAACCTCCGAACCGATGGGCTGGAATTTAGTTAGTATTATACTATAATACATAATTATTACAAGTATATAAAAAAACCAAGCAATGTGTGACGGAGAATGTCCACATCCGCTTGACAGATTGTGTTATTTACATGCGCGATACGAAATAAAACGGAAATGTTAAACAAAACGTGCAATATAGAACTAGATATTAACATATTTCTGATAACTTGTCCATCATCACCATGTATTAATAACCCCACTGCTGACATACAAGCCTATGGATGGAATCGAATAAGTTATGACCCATTACTTAGGCCCAGTGCGTATTGGTGGGTGTTAGCGACTGCAGACGCAACAGGAATAAAGTGCCTTCGGGAGTACGGATGAGTTCGAGATAGTGAATTTTTGATCACCCATCCTATGACCGGACATTGTGAAAATTGCTGAACTTCCGTATCACAGAAGGCGCTAACCAATACGCCATCGAGCTCCTATTGATATCTCATATAAGAAAACCGGTCATTTTCACATTAATCTAGCATGAGTTTAATTATTCAACTGTTCGAAATTGGTTTCTAGTTTAATTTTCTTTACTATACTAGTCGATTACGAACATGATAGTCAGCTCTTGACCTATCCCACTCTCAAATTAAAATAGGTTTTTAAGATCAATTGTTTCAACAATATAGTGATATGAAGAGCTGAAGATGTGAAGAGCTTCACGGAATTGAATTATTAGAATTGAATTAACTCTTTGTTTCCAAACAATATTGTGGCATCAAGCATCGTATCAAAAGCATGAACATCGGAATCAATGGAGATAAACGATCGAACATAAATACCGTATAACGAAACGATTTGAACCCACGCCGTAGACCAATTGTAGCTCTGTAGGCACTTCGCATACTTGAATTCGTCGACGTTACAGAGGACATATTGATTATGTTCAAATGGAAATCCACAAGCGAAGATATCTTCGCTGTTTTCAGATAGCTGTTTGTCAATAACACGGATCACATCACTGTACGTCACTATAATATAGCACGGAGATACTCAAGGCGATACGAAATAGAAAACTGTGATTTTCTCTGAACACACCACATCCATTTTACTAGATACCAATGCCAAGACTGAATTGTTACTGCGATACAGATGTACGCGGCGAAGTGAGCATAACAATGTAATTGCTTGAAACCGTTCTTTGAATAGTCACCGTGCATTTAGGTACAGAGTGAACCTCCCACCTAGGGCTGTCTTCGTTCAGTTTTCCCTGGATCAGTCTTAGTTTCAGGAGGTGTCCAGAAAGTATCCGTGTAAAGCTTTTTTACTGTCTGGGATACAACTATTTAAATGCTACTGTTATTGTTACTTGTGGTCGTAACGGCTATCATACGACGTCTATAAATTTTCCGGTAGTGGATGAAATATGTTGGATTTAGGATCTTTAAATTCTTGATATTTGAACTCCATGTCCAAGTTAACCTACTTTCGCGACAACCCTACTTCTACCATATCGTAGTGGCTTGTCCTGTGAATTATTTACCTATAATTCACAGGACAGACAGAGAGCAATATTTTATTATTTGTGAAAGCTGATTGTGGTTATAAAACTATCTTCTATGCTTTCAAGGCCAAGGTCAAGTTAATATACAACTCAGTTTTAGAATATAACAGGTATTTCATAGCATTATTAGTTGTTATAGATAATAACGGAGAACTGTGTCATTACTTTATGATACATATTACGATTTCGATATTAAAGAACATTTCATCTATGAGTTTTATCATAACTCAATACTTATATTAAAAATTTCGCAGTGTTTAGGATTGCTAAGTATATTTCAATGGTTTCTTCTGTTTACACTCACGCCCTGCAGAGAGCTGGCTGTCGGTGATACCGAAGTGCTTATTGCGTTAATAATGTCCGGTTATAGAACCTATGAATGCACAAATATTTCTCAGATTGAAACGGACACTAGTTTTGGGTAAGCTTCTCTTGATTGGTTAATATTTTGAACCCATAACCACTTTCACCACCATAAACACGTGTGCTTAACCATCTGTTAGAAAGCTAGATTCTTTGAGATAGGATAAAGGATACGTTCAGCTTAGCGATTATTTACAAGCGCCAGTGCCATAGTTGGTTCTGGTTTCATCCTATATACATCCTGAGCTTCTTGATGTTTGTCTCTATCAGATTGTAATGATATTTTGTATTTCTTCTCAAACACATGTACGCATGCAACTTACAGTGGCTCAATTTCAATGGCTTACTCCAGTTTTCTACTGTGATCTTCCTTACTTCGTGTCATAATTTGGACGTGTGTTATCTAGTCACCGCAGTGGCCGCTTTTTGTTGAATTGGAAAGGTCAAAAGGCGGGAGGAATTTCCATCATTACCGTAAGCGTGATTCGCATACACCCAATAATGGTGCGCATGATGTCCTGTGACACTTTTCGAGTTTTTCTGTGACTGTTGCGAGTTTGGTCCTGGTCCACCAAAAACCGTTAGTTTTATTACAGCGTTGTATAGTCATCGAATTAATTTGGGAAACAAACACCAAATTGTACCAATCATTCAATTACATAAGAATATGATTAAGGTTATATTTATTTGTTTTACGAAACCTTTTAGTAATAAGTTTTGGAAGTTAACATTTTCCATTCGGCGTTTATTTGTGAATAGTATAATTTTTGTATTTTTACAGATTTACTTTAATCCACAAGTTCCACACCATTTTTCAACATTGCATATTTTTGTTAGGTCCATTATTGTTCCTAGGAATAACCAAAAGCCACTGAGGCTTTTTTTTTGTTGGTGAGATCATTGGAATATTCTTTCACTATAAAATTATCTCTTTTGGTTGAACTATGAATTCATTTATCACAAGGCTCCACAGAAGAAACGAGGGGATCCTCACCTGCGTACAGCGTCTGGCCACAATGGCCAGATATTTTCTGTGATTTATAATGCTCTGTATATTTACAATAAGTCTTAACATTTTTACAATCTAGCTTGAGAGTGTCGGATAGACATTATATTTTCTTAGGGCTCCTTCCATGTTCACAAAGACCGTTTTATATAAGGCAAAAAACACAATAGTATATAACTCAAATACATTGAAAAAAAAAAATCTTGCAGCATCCTACATGCATTAGTTAAAAACCATTGTTTTGAGACAAATATTTGCAACAAGCTTGAAGAACTACTCAAGAGCTTCAGCTTACAAATATCTCTATATTGAAGAAATTACAGTTGATTGAGATTTTAAATTCCTTATGAGTATGAATTTTTATTATATACAATTACAATAATTATGTTGGCTTGGGTCTGGGTGATGTTAGTACATTTGATGTTTCAGATACTTCATACCACAAAGGATTTGGCTACTTAGGAATCAGAGCAATGATTCTGAATATTTATTAATATATATAAAAATGAATCGCAAAATGTGTTGGTAAGCGCATAACTCAACAACGCCTCGACCAATTTGGCCAAATCTTTTTTTAAAATGTTCGTTGAAGTTCAAGGATGGTTTTTACGGCGAGAAAAATTAGAATTATTGCTGGAAAAACCCTAAAAATAGCCCTTTTCTTTTTCCCATACAAATGATTTGTAACTAAAACGTAGTCAATTTGAGCTTTATTGCTATGGTATAAAGTTCATATTAAATTACAAGCACTCACTGTTGTCTAAGCAATGTAGGCTTTTTGACAGGACGAAGTCTGTCGGGTCAGCTAGTTTATTAATGTATTTATTGTTCAGAAACAAGACTTTAGAAAATGTCAGTTACTATTATAATTGGTAATTTGGCATATTTCAACAAATATAATAATTTACCAATGAAGAAGTATTAAAAAAAAATTGTTCCCAAAATCAAACTAGATGTTGTCACAATACTTTCTTCATTTCTCCAGTACAAGAAAGTTAATATAAAGTGTGTATAAATTATATAAGAAGTTTTCTTTTATATATGAAAGTAAATTAATTTTCAAAGCACAATTAATTATTCTATTCTTTTTGTACTTTTTCATATTTGTATTGATTCTGAGTTCCGAACTTTGCAAATTTTAGTTTTTTAATACATTATTTAAAAGAAATGGAAATTTTGGTCCATTTGTTTCCTGCAAAAATCAGCTTTTGGTAGAGTCGCCATCTATTGAAGTGCTTTTTAGTTCTTTCTTTTTTTCCTTAAAATACTTCCTCATTAGTAGGTATAACATTTAAAATAATTATTTTAGGTTTTTTCCTTCCAAATTATTATAAAATACTAAATTATTATTTATTTATTTATTTGAAGGGATAGTACACAGCTCAGTACAAACTAATATTACAATTTTAATTACAATCTTAAGGCCAATTACGGCTATCCAACAAATTACAATTTTATTATTCATTAGAGAAACATACGAGTGCTCCATTTAAATAAAAACAATAATATTCTAATTAAATCAAGGGAAAGCGTTTGGTTGTTAGTTTGTTAATACAACAATAATAGAATACTTGGATAAGTATTTCATGTGCATTCTATTTCTAAGTACTTATAGTTACATAACTGTATTTTGAAATATATAAATAACAGAGGAGGATAAAAAAATAATGGATAAATAAATAAATGAATATACCCTACACATACTTTTATAACAAAAAAAAAAAGAAAAAGATAATGCTATTGCGATACGGTCTACTCATGTTCAGTCAAACAATGAATGATTCTGTATAGGAATTGTTTTTTAGAACCAACAAAGGGGTCGACGTTACTAAATTTAGTATTATAAAGTTTGGGTTACCTAGAGAGTACAGAGTTTTGACCATAATTAGTGCAATGCAATGGAATATGTAGCAGGTGCTTGGACCTAGTACGATGTGGGAGAGTACTACAACATATGATTCCACGATAGCAACCTTTTTACCTTTGAAATTTAGGTGTCGTACAAATTTCTCTTGTATACCCTCTATGCGATTAATGTAGATATTATAATAAGGTGACCATACTGGAGCTGCATACTCTAACATACTACGTACGTAGGCATAGTAGACTATTTTTGAAGTCATAATATTTTTAAAAGGTTGACAAGTGCGCAAAACAAAACCAAGATTGCAATACGCCCTACTCACTATAGTGTCTATATGTGTAGACATCACATATAGACACTATACATAAGCATCTAACTGTCAAAATAAATGTAGACATAAGCATCATGTGTAGACATAAGCATCTAACTGTCAAAATAAACTCCGAGATCTCGAACCACCTCTGTTCTCTCTATCACAACATTATCAAAGTTGTTGTATTATAAAAGTTATAAACAGCTAAAGTATAATTTAAAATGGAAGCAAGCAAACAATGTTAATATAACTCAAGCATCACAATAACAATTTTTTTAACAACTCTTAAGGTCAAAGCAGAGCTTAGTTATTATTTTAAGTTCTAAGTTATAAACAACAATGTAGTAAGCTGGTACTTCTATCATCTTTTAATATTAAGTTACTATCCTGAATACATACTTACACTAAGAAACAATTTATTATTGTTAAGAGTTTTTCCAATAAGTGCTCAAGATAGTAACAAAAGCATCAATGTTTTGATTATCACACAATAAATAAAGATGAGATATATACTTTTAAAATAGAAATTTAGCACAGCGGTGAGAACAAATGTGAAATGAAAATCCTTATCCATGTGAAATGTGTTTTTTGTAATGAATATACAAACATACCTTAGGTGTAGAAGGTTCTGGACCACTTGATACATTGTATGCCTGAGTTTGAGCATGAGGTTGGCTAGGTGGGTACCCTTGGTATTGGCTCTGTTGTTGTTGACCATGATTGGGTTGTGGGTAACCCTGTCCAGGTTGTGGATAGCCCTGGCTAGGCTGTGGGTAGGATTGACTTGGAGGATATCCTGAACCTGTTTGAGCTGTTGGATAACTTTGAGCTCCAGGATAACCCTGATTTGTGGGAAAGCTTTGTCTAGGATACCCAGAAGTTGGTTGAGGATAACCAGGGCTTGCTTGTGGATAAGCACTAGGGTAACCAGTTTGAGGCTGTGGATAGCCCGTAGTGGGAAACCCTGGCATTGGCATTGGGTTACCGAAAGATTGAGGCGCGTTGTTTGCGAATCCGATATTATGTAGGTACTGCGGTTGCGGATAACCCGATTGGCCCTACGAAACGAAAATGCTTTCATTGATGACTCGCAGAACGATTAAATGTGATAAACAAAACAATGAGGCCGATGTTAATAACTCACTTTGTACAATAACTTACTTGCTGGTATGGATTCATTTTTGATGATTTTCTGTTGCACACCCGATACGGAACGACTACAGAGGAACGACGGTTTACAAAAAAATCGCAACAGTAAAAAAGCAAACTATTACAGAATTGAGCAATAAAGGTGATTCAGAGTCAGTTGGGTTTTCTGGGTACCAGAACACTACCGGAATGAGAATTTTAGAGATGCGCGATATACCGAAAACCTTTATATATCGATGGCCAAAAATATCGATACATATCGATATTAAAGAAACAGCGATATCAATATAGAACCTAATCATTAGCTAATCCTAAGAGTAGATGTATATCAAGCGACTAAATTCTGAGATTATATTAGTAACACGTGTGATTTATTCATTACTTTGTAACTCTGAGTTTTTTTTGTATGTAGGCTGATACTTTATTCCAATTATAATCCAAAGGGAAAGGGACTGTTATACCTTACTACAGGTTATTATATAACCTATCAAGGGTAGCAGTACTTCATCCACTAATACTTAGTTATTTGTCTATTGCTATTGTTAAGTATGTACCTAATACAATCTCTTTTTGAAAATAAAGAAGTTTATTAATATTATTATTATTATTATCTCTAACCAAGCACAAAGTATATATAAATCGACAGATTGTAAGTAAGCCTGATACATGATCATTTTATTTTATTTTTATCATTAGGTGGATATTTTATAATTTATGTAGAAACACATAAGGGCATTAAGAAAATCCATGGAAACCCCATCCAATTCATGTCCAAAGTTACGTTCCAATTCATGCTGTGAATTAATCTATTTGGACAATGTGGAATCATTATTTTTATTTACTATTAATTATTGATATTTCAGACCGCTAAATACAGTGATATTTTAAACGAATCGAAGCTCATTGCCACAGATTAGGCCCGGTTTAAGCCTATTTGTTGCGTGGCTTATTAAAATAAACACATAGTTAACAGATTATTAATTCAATATCTAAAATATAGATCTATGATTCGTCTACTAGGGATACAAAGTTACTATAAGATGCTTTGGGGTAGTATCCAAAGCAATCAGATTCTGAAGGTGATTAATTAACAACAATTTAGGCATTTTGTGTCGGCAAAGTCGACTATCAGACAGGCTTTTAATATCGACGCTGGAAAGCAAGCACGTAGTAACCCGCAAAACCAAAATTGTTCTTCAGAGCAGAAAAACTTTGATTTTTTTCGATAAATAATTCCTATAAACGTCCATGATAACAAATAAGGTGTTTCTCAGTCAATTGATACAGAAATAAGATATATTTTTTTAGAAAAATCTAAAGATTTTCCATTCTAAATATCCATTTTAGTTTTGCAGGTTACTACGTGTTTGCTTTCTCAGCGTCGATATATAAAAAAATATTTTAATTACAACAAACATATTGCTTTTTGTTTAATTTTATTATCGGAATATGCCCGCTTTCGTAATTATCCCAAAGTACCCTACCGAAGGCTAGGCTGTGGTCCGTAACCTTTGTTTTAATTTACGGCGTTTTATTTTTTGAAGTGAGTTTTATGGCTGTGTTATACAGTTTCTAGGAAAATCACAGAAATGTTTTTAACTTAGTTTATCTAAAATGGGGGAAATTTTAAGTCTGAAACTTTGATGAAAGGTAGAGGATTGAGTCTAGAGGCTATTATGATTTTCTTTATGGTAGTTTAAGTTTTTCGGAATAAAGTATCAAAAATAAATATTCTCTTTTGTTATATCTAAAATAAATATTATTATAGTTTGTACTTAATTTCAAAATAAAGTGTTATTCTCAATCTAATTGCCATCTATCTAAAGTGGCAATAAGGCATTTTCCCATTGTATCAAGGTGCATATCTTCTGAACACATTTCAGCACGCAAAGAATAACAAGATCGAGGAATGCTTTGTCTACATTTAGTGTCGTCATGTTTGTCCAGCGAGAGTGAGATATCGTATCGGTACACCGGTCTTAGGTGACATTTGGGTGTTTACAAAACGCTCTCGAGTTCCTCTTGCTACTCATGCAGGATTCAACATTATACAAGTAGGAACAAACTTAATAATTATAAGCCGATTTTTTAATATACATTTATGAAAAAACGTTTTTTTACAAACAAATTTTTGTATTTACTGAAGATCCTATAATTATATCGATATAGACTGTAACCAATACATATATACCGAACTCTATATATCGATATGTTTTTGAAACTTGCATCTCTATGAATATTTGAGACGATAGCGGAACCTCATTCAATAACACTATCAGTTAAGGATGGCGATATGACATCGATTAATATCGATATTTTGTACTATATCGATGCCATAAATCGAGTTTTACCCTACATAATCAAATTATATTTTGATCTGTTTTACAACCATGAAATTATTTTACATTAATTGAATGTAAATAAGAGATATAACAGTGCAAAAATTTATAAATCATTGAAATATGTAATACAAACACAAAGGTCAGCCCCCTAATTGTCTAATTTTAAATCTATGGCAATCGCTTTCAGTTTGAAAGGTGTTGCACAACCATTGCTTGTTTCTGAAGACAGTTGAAAAAAAAGTATTTGTATTATGCAGCAATGGTTATGCAACACCTTTCAAACTGAAAGCGATTGCAATAGATTTAAAATTAGACAATTAGGGGGCGGGTAATAATTAAATTTTCATTAATAGCACATAGATTTGTCATTACGTTTATCAAAAAGAAATCTTCTATATACCAAAAAGAAAACAGGAATCGAGTCACTGTGTACTGAGAATTATCCACAGTAGCTTAAAAATACCCAGTAGCTATATAATTGACATTAGGGGATATGACATTCAAAAAATCAATAAGAATCCACACTGTTTTGATATTGAATCCAGTTTCAGAGAGATCGGGTGCATCATTTTCTTGATGGAATACCGCCACGCCTAATGGTGTCGTTGTAGTCAATGATTTTGTCATCGTCGCATGCTTCGATTCGTTAGACGAACATTGTCATCGTAGATCGTTAACATCGTCGCTTTGGCTATAGGTGTAACTCTGCTTTCTTTTTCCTGTATCGTTTTATTGTTTCCAAAGTAGCCTCACATGTAACGCCGAATACATTTCTTTTTAAGAAAATATTAAAAAAAAAAATGTTAATCGATATGAGGAAGTATTTAAAAAATATATAGGTCCCGAAATCAAACTAGATGTCGCTATGGTACGTTAAATCAAAGAGAATAGAATTGTCAGTGTTGTTATGGATCTGGTAACTCGGATTAATATCGAGTTGAAATTTAATTAATTCGAGTTATGCAAACGCAACTCGATTAATACAAAGTAATCTTTGAATAAATTTCTTTTTTATTTGTATAGAAGAAAATGGAAACTAACATAATGGAAGTGAACAAAAGTCATAAAAACGATAATTATTATAAAAAATGCGTTTATTATCTATATACTTACCCGATATGTATCAAATATACTAGATATTTGTACAAAATAACATGACTTCTGGCTAAAATGACGTAAAAAGTGCAAATAAATTGTGCTTTAGAAATTAAGACTTTAAAAAACTATGATCAGTTACTAAATCTTATATTCATAATTAAATCATCTTAATAAACATTCAGCAATCAACAAGAAACGTTTATTCTAAAGAACAGCAAGACGTCTATATTCAAAACTTTAAATTTCAAAATCGCAAAGATACGTAAAGTTATTATACTATTGGTACAGATCTTGCATGTCGACGGCGGATATCGAGTCATATGATAAGTTAATTCGTACGGTGGGTATGTGCTCTTTGGTTCTTACAATAGTATTGTTAATAATAGATTGACTTCCTACACAACCTACTCTAGAAATCAGTTTTATTAAAATATATTATTTACTAAGTACTTAGAGTAGTCATGCTCTCTTAAAATCTCTGCGGTTGTGTCGGTTACGTTAAGTCGTTACGTTCCCTCAAATATAGTATAGTTGAAATTAAAAAAGCAGCCCTTGCTGAGTTTCTTGCCGATTCTTGTCAGTACAAGGTCTCACGCCTTAGTTTTGCGAACCATTGGCAAAGTTTTCGACTTTCACAAGTACTATGTAACAGCCTAGACTGAATTGATTTTGATATTAATATTAATATCATTCGTGTTATGGATGCATAATGATACATACAATTACAAGCTGAATTCTGCGCTCCGCCTTTTGTTCTTCATTCCAAACCTGAATTCGGATGAAAGTTACGAGCAACCGATAAGTTGGTGCATCGATCTATTGCAAGGACTTTACTCAAGAAATATGGAACTTCGCTATCAACAAGCAAACAAGCAAGTGAGAACAGAAGTATCTCTTTCTGTGAGAAAGCATGCTGCTCAGCATATTATTCAGATTGCACCCACCAGAAAAAGATATGCGCTGTGTACGAATAAAACAATCAAAATGTGCGGCAAATGTGGTGTAAATCTGTACGAAAAATGTTTTGGGCAATTCCATTCGTTATTGAATTGAATTATGTATGTATCAATGTTCCTAATTAACATTGAGACTGATCGAACTTTAAGACTTCATAATAAATATTAATTTTCACTTACATAAAGTCTTGTTATAATTTATTTCTACGCCATACTAGTGTATGACGATATATAGGCAAAGGGGTCGTTTACAACCCATTAAAAAAAACCTACTTTCAGCACAAAAAATAATAAAAATTAACGTTATACCCGTTTTTTGGGGTCAAAAAGGAACAGCTTATGTGAAAATCGTAAAAATCAGTGCTAAAAATAGTTCTGCGCATACATGGGTTAATACACATTTGAATTTTGTAATTAAAATTAAAATCAGTTTTTGTTCTAATGCCTTGATTTAGCTAACATAATTTAAATCAAGGCATTAAATAACGGATGGTTGGTAAGGTTAAATGATGGTCAAGGTTAAATCATGTAAGTAGTATCCTACTTTTTAATTTTCTTCGGTTTTAAACAAAACACCATGGTGAATAAAGGCAAAAAGCTATCTCAATTTGTACATTAGGTGTTTGTAAATAAACAGTTCTGAACTTTAACAATAATTATCATGAAAAAAATATGAAAGAAAGTTCACTTTCACCGTTCACAAATTTGACCGCTGACCGGTTGACTGACCTTTAATTTTTCACCAATCACCTGATGATAGATAGATAAACATAGAAATGTCATAGACTTTTTAAT